TTTTTTTCCTACCACGGCTTTTTTCATCTATGTTCCATTCATTAATATAATATAAGCTATAGTAGAGAGAGAATACATCCTTTTCGATCTCGATACAATGTTTCCTAATTTGATCATATTACAATACAAATCTATGAATCTAATATTCCTTCTCTATTCCGATAATCTTTATCATGTCAATCAATGTATTACATTATCAAAAACTTTTCAAAGTTCACAATATAGATATAGACGTCTTTCCGTTCATCCAAACAACTTATTTACCAAACTTGCATTGCTACAAGAGTATCCCTGTTACCAAACACAACATCAATAACAACATAAATCTAAATTTTGTTACACTTTTATTATCTTCAAGTATTTTTGGAAATATGAGTGTTAAATTATTCATAGGAATATCTTCAAAAAGTGGTTCATTATTTATCTTTTTCGACACTGGTTTCTGGTTTAGAAACAAGAGTCAGTTTTCGAGGATTATTATACACCATATATAAAAATTCATGTGGTCGTCATCAAAACTGTTAAAAAAATACAATAACATTATAGTTAATTATTTTTTTATTGTTATGCCATCATGGGTAACCGCTCTGCTAATTTAAATGGTACTTGATGCTTGATGACAAGGGTCCTTGTCTCTCGTCTTTAAAAATTGTACACGCACACTTTTCCAACTTTACAGGGTTCTTCAAGATGAACTAGTATCTTACTATAGTATGTTACCATCAATTAAAAAAGATTGAAAAAAGTAGTTCTTTAAATAAATATTAGATGTTGCTAAGCCTGCGCCAATATTTTAAAAATGCTTTCCGATTTTTTTTCTCTTTGCATTAGGTGATTGATAGAAAGAAGAAAAACCATCGGTTCTCAATCTGCAAATGCATAACAAAAACACAGAGTGCGCAAAATTTTTAAATAGATTTTCGGTTCTACAAAAACGATCATCCAAATCTAAACATCTTTATGAAACCTGACAAAAAAGATTCATCAATATCAGTTAACAATAACTAGGCATATTAAGATTTTCTCGTTATCAGATAAACGTTGGCGTGTGCTCAACATTCACGTTACTTTAAAAAGCGTTTTAATCTGACATGAGATTCCCTAGTAATGTATACAAATCTTTTCTGAAAATAGCATTAATTTCGTACAATATAAATCCCTAGAGAACGTGTATCCTCCACCCAATATCACGCAACCCAATATATTTCTGTTAATTCTGTTGGCATGGTACAGCAATAAAGGTCTAGGAAGGGTAAATTATTTATAATTAAGATAGAGCTGGTTTAAAAATATATAATTACAAAAAAATAGAGAATCTTGTGATTTTTTTCTGGGGAAAATATAAATTCCAATTTTGCCTGCGATTTAACCCCTTACAAATATAATGTATATTTTTCCAATATTTAATTACAGCTATTCATTCTTTTATTAATTAATTAGAAGAGAGTATTCTTAAATTATATTCGATCAATGATGCTATATTTCTTTAAGACAGAATATTCTTTGTTTTAAATACATCAAACTTATAATTTCAAATGTAAACAGAAATCTGAACAATTATTAACTCACTAAAAGTGTGATCTTCCAGACAAAATTTATAATGGTGTATCTATGTACTATTTATTATATTTATTTTTACCAAACTAGTTAAAAGTTATTGTTCTTGATATACACTTATTCATACCCTTACTCTCTAAAGATAAAGCATCAAAACTTTTCTAAAAGGTGACAATTTCAAAATTGTTCGCTAACGAAATAACCGGCGTTAAGTGGCAACCCTACATTATTATGGGCTATAACCGGATCTGCCCGGATACAGGGTTGCTAGTAATAATAACCGGCGGCGTCCAATCAAATTACCGGCCGGACCGGGCGTTACCGGTAATAATCACGTTTATAAGTGACAGTCGACTACACGATTATACCCGCCCGGTTTTCGTCCACGGTTCGCACTATATTCGTATTACTGGCTCAAATGTGCTATAATGGAATTCTTACTCCATGCTGCTAACTCTTTCTCAATGTATGTCCGTTAATAATTCCCTAATATTTATACTGCAGATAATTTTGATTGTTTCTCATTTTATTAATACATTTATAACGTATCTCTACATTGTTAATACTATTCAAAATGTTGAGTAGCTTACTTAGTGGTGAACACAAAAACGTGTAGCCTGAATGAGCTACACCACTTACCCTCCATTATGCCATTCTACGTATATAATAGAATATTCAAAAGTTATTATTATTGTTTTATTTGAAACAGTTCTGTGCCTGTTAAAAAGTTTCGGGTACAACGTTTATGATTTCTTGTAATGTTGATATAGACAGGAATAACAAGACAAGCTTTACCACATACGAGTTTAATCGCATTTATTTTTAGTTAAATCTAACCTGCATGAAAGCCGCTGATGGTGGTCGAGTGTGGTTACAAAATGTTCCATAAAACGCAGCTACTAGCAGCGAACGCTAGCAACTGTCACAGATAGCTAGTGGCTCATACATGGCCATTTAAATGTTCTGTTTCATTTTCGAATTAAGATTTTTTTTCAACTATTGTAGCAATTATATGGCACAAATCGTTTTGCATTATGAAAAATAATTAAGAATACATAAGTAAACTTATTATTTATACTATACAGGTGTTTAATTACCTTTCCAAACAAACATGAAAATGGAGACAGTTTAATTTACATTGCTGGTGTTTATCACCCCAATGCAGTTTACATTGAAATTAAACGCCCGTTTTTTGTCTACGTTATTAAAATATCCCCTTCACTTTAAAAGGTTTTTAAATTAGGATATTTTTCTTGAGTTGGTTTTATTTATTTACAATTTCTGCGCAGGGTTTACTTATTTGTTTAGGAAGGATAACATTAATGGGTTAAGTACGTTAAGCTATTATTTTAACATTAATGGTTTAACTATTTTCTAAAAACGTCGTTCTAATTTAAATTCCACTGGTGGCAAAATTTGTTGTCTGCGCTACTAGTGTCTATTTTTTTATTAATGCTATCTTTTTGTTTGGTTATTCTTTTCATAACTTAATAAAATTTAAATTTGTAGAAAATATTGTGTAATTTTATTACTACATTATGGTTAAAACATAACCAATGTTTATTTAAACTTATGAATGTAAGTTGTCGAAGAAAATAAAGGCAGTAAAGTTAAAAAGATTGATACTAAAATTTAGTATAAAGCAGCAACATCAATCACAGAACCGTAACTGGAGACATTACACGAGAAAAATAGAGCCTTAGTTTATATAGGGTTCCAACCTATCGTTCACTACCAAAGCTCCTATACGCATTAGGAGGGTTGTTTTCGGGAGCTCCTTAGCTTTTCTGTCTGCCTAGTACTGTGTATTGTGACAACATGTGACTGGGACACGTGTGGTGTGTGTGGGTTACTGCATGCACAGGTTATGTGGGTTGATATTTATTAGTTCGTAGAAAATACACCTTCATTTCTAAGGCTTTTTTAATTAACGTGCTATGGGGTGGGATGATAACTCCATTATTTTCAAAGTAGCCTAGTAAGGGTACGCCATTGGGGTAATGTGTTGTTATTATGTACGTATGATTGTCAATTATAAAGCTATATAGATGTCAACAAAAGCAGAGTAAAATCCTTATTACTCTGGTGCATGTAGCTGATACAACAAGTTACAGAAACGGCAGCTTGTTAGCTATTTTTCATATTCCTTAGTGACGCTATTGTCATAGGGCACAAAAGGCTCGGGCACCAGGCGCGCAAGGGCTATACAGAGATTGACCGATCGCGCAAATTGAATGTCCGTCGAACACGACGGGACAACACCCCATTGTCCCATTGGCTTTTCAAGATACAGCCAATATTTCACAGTATCACAAAATGTTTTACTGTAGAAAAACCAGAGAAATGAGATTTACAGCCCAATATTACCCGCCAAAGTATCATTTTTAATGGGTGTTGGTTGTTATTTAAACGTAGACTATCATCTTATTTGTTAATAACGAACCAACAAGGTGCTTTCGTAGCAAGGAATTTCGTATTTAGTCAAAGCTAATTACGAAATTTCCAATGACAATGCACGTATTTGAATTTAAGTGAATGTTTTCGTTTAAAACCATATACCCAAATAGGCACTTAATTCACACTGGAATAATACATAAAAAATAAAATAGCACATTTTTAGCTTCTTATCGATATGCCATTTTTTGTAAATAGCGGATGGCAAAGTGAATCGATAGTTAGCATCAATAAAAATAATAAAAAGATGCGGGATGCCATTAACCAATTTTGGCGATTTGTATCGACAACATAAAAAGATTCCGTCAAATCACGTCTTTTTGACGCCAACAATTGATTCTAATTTTGACGGGTCACGGGGATATTAAAAAATGGAAATGATTTATGCCTCATGAATATTTATTTCTAAACTATTTTTTACTCCATAGGGTATAAGAAATCCGATACCGGAATATTGATACCGACGGTACCAAGGAATCATAGCTTACAGGAGACCCTTTCGTGCATACGATATAGAGCGATATATACCGCGCTATGGAAGGTTTTGATGAATTACTCGCGATGCGAATATATGAACATATTCAGGCCAAAGCCAGGCTGCTTTGACAATATGAGTACCTACGTACACGTACAGTACACCTATTGTTAAAATTATATCTGCGCCCATTGTACCTGTCTTTGAAGCCTCGTTAATCTTTATAAATATAGTAAAAGGAGTATGAAATCTTTATAAATTTATAAATAAAGGAGTTTTTGTTAAATTTGGTTTTATATTTTCAGATCATAATTCCTTAATTACCAGCACTTGGGTTGCAAGAAACCGTTATTTAGTAATAATCATAATATAATTGTTATTTTATTAACTGTCTTTGTTACAAATTATTTTTGTCTACCAGTTGTTATGCTTCATTTACTCCACTTACATAAAGCCTTGGAGGTCATACATGTCATAATCACATTTTAATGTTGCTATTTTTGTCTTGTTTACAGTTGGTGGGTGGGGAGTTCGACATGGAGCTGAACTTTGTAATCCAGGATGCGCAGAATATACAACATATGTTAGAACTGCTCGACCACTGCCCGCCGAGCCTACAGGTAATTCGAATACTCTTTTTTATTTCAAACAACCTAAGTACTTCGATTAGTTACTTGCTTCAGGTTCTTAATTCGACTTAAGTTTTTATTAAAACAACGGTGATGAACTCACAATTAGATTGAATATTTCAATGTTTAATTATATGGCTGTTAGGTCGGCCCGTTAGGTCATATCATTAATGTAGGGTGTCCTAAAAAGAATTTTAATTATTTGCTAAAATAGATTGTTTATACGTTAACGTTATGGGCTGAAAAAAATAGATCGTATAGGAAATTTAGTTCAATTCATATCACAAAAACTTTTATATCCTCTACTAATAATTTGAAATGTTCGCTAATGCTTGGCCACATCATGAAACAGTCATACGAACAGCCGCCCATATTTATTGATCTGGCCTGGCCACATTTCTTTTTTCATTTCATGAAATACGACCAGTTCATGAAATGACCGTTCGTATTATGAATTAGTCAATTCTAAGATCTAACCACAACATATACATTATTCACTAAGTTACTGTTAATCAATTTTGTTTTACGGATGCGCGGTTTTTGAACCAGTTCAATAGTTTTCTTGTGACAAACGACGTCTTGACCCATTTATCTCTAGTATTTAATATTACTTCGTATCATAGCCAGAATAGAATACATAATATTTTAACATAGTTAACGTTGGGCTTTTATTTGAGACGCGCTGGAAAGAGACAGCGTGATGAATATATGCATCCTAATTGTTAAGACGTTTTTTTTTGGGAGGCGGAGAGGTGCAGGTAGTTTTTTTGTTGAATAATGACCCGTGGGATATCGCCTTGTTCGTTATGCAGTCCTGGTATCAAAGTAGATCAAATTAACCCTTTCGTTAACTTAAAACAATGATGAAAACACAGGATATGGCGATTTTTTTTTTATTAATCTTCAATATTTGTGAGTAATATATTGATTTTAAATGAGTTACCCTTAAAATTGATCATTTTTTACTTTTTGTTACAATGAAACCCCTTTTATAGGGAACATCTAAGAAATTATGCAGTACTAATACAACCCGTCACACCCATAATAGTTTGTGTCCGCAAAATTCGACATCCTCTATCCCTGTCTGTTTGCTGTTTGCTGTTTGCCGAGCGCAATAAGATAGACAGCCTTAAACGGTTAGCTTTACACACTCTTTTAACTATCAATCAAGGTTTATTAAAATCAATCGCAAAGAATAATGGTCAAAATGGACTACGAAAAAAAAGTTCTTGTACCAAGATGGAACTATCACCAAAATGTAGTATAAGTTGAATGTAATTATTATATACCAACAATTTTTATAAGCTGGGAAAAGAAAGAAAAAATCCTCTCTAAAATATGTCTTTATTTTTTAAGAACGCATTTTAAATTGGGCATGCAGTCTCGACAGAGTTTGCTGTCGCAATCCTAGTTATTATAGAATTCTTCGTGATAATGACTCTTGCAGCAGTAATTCGATATTGACTTTAAAACAAGTAGCAATCCCAGAAATAACTATCTCTTTTGTTAGTTGCAATGAAAGTTAAAATTAATACGATATATTCTTAATATTTATTGATTTCAAATTTGAAGCAGTGGTAATACTTACTTTTTTACTTTATCAAATATATGAAAGGCAGCATTGAGTTCTATACTAAAATATTAGGTCATGGGGAGAACAATAGCGGCGAATTGTAAATGAGGAGGTATACACTCGATAATGACGTCCTGGTGGTGCATAGCAATGCGCGCGGGTTTGCAGGAACGGGATATTAATAATGCAATAGTCAATTTCCTCTTCGCCTAACTTGTGTGCACAGCTCGTGATATATTTGACGGAAACAGTGATATGTAGTTCATGTAGTAATAATCCTAGGATAACAAGTAAGGTACGACCTTGGCCATTGCTTCATCAAACAAAAATCTTATTCTTATGTGAATACTAATCAGGACTTGATATTAAATCTTCGTTAACTTATTAAATGCAGAAATAGTCACCAGTTAATTTTATTACTTATAACTGAAACACTATGCGTAGTCAGCTACGGCGTACTAAATAGGTACCTAAGTTACATAGTAAATCAGTGTCTATCAGGAAGGCGACATAGTTGCTTTAGGTACCTACCGCTAGGTAGGTAACTAAAAGTACACGGTATTTTGTTACCTGAAAAACAGTTTTATCTCTGTTATACGAGTTTGCAGATTGAGATATAAAATTTTAAGAAAGTTAGTTTTAAGGAGACATCTTAACGGTTGTTTTATGCACTCGGTAAACTAACTTGAATCGTAACTGGAAAGAGATACTGGCCAGTTGAGTTGACTGAGAAGTTTCAAAGGTAAGGTTTTCCTTTTTGTTAATAATAAAGCACTCGATATATTCTATCGATCGTATTATTTAAAAAATATGTACGTTTTCAGCCCAATTCTGATTTCACCTTAGTACAAGCAATACTCATAGGTAACAAAATTGGAGATTCGCTCTATTTTTTAATAATTTGTTTCATATTTCTACATCCTATCATATAACATGGCAAAGCTTATGCCTTATCTAAAATGTTTCTATTGTCGTCTGCTATAACGTTCAGCATCTTTACTTTAAATCGTATTAAAGTCGTAAACCAACAGAATTAGCGTCACAGTAATACATATTGTTTATACGAATGCAATAGATAATCCTTACAAAATTGTGTTTTTCCTTAAAAAACATATATTATCTTATGCCTTTCCACATTTCACTCCGGTGGTTATTGAGGCCTGCCCCCAAGTAGTGTGCGATCCACTAGTGGTCCTCAAACGAGCGTCAATCTTCTCGGCGTGCATGCATCATTGGTAACGAGAGATTTGGTTCGGTTTACAAGTGCACGGATTTCACTTTTAAGTCAGTTAGTTTTTTCGTTCTTGAAGAGTACTAGAAATTTATTTAACATCATATCCATTAAGCATTAGCATTATCTCCGCATCGGATGCAGAACCAGATCCATTCTACATTGTATCATAAGTTACCGAAATATACGTATTAGTTTCGTTCTCGGGATAGCATTCAGGTTTTAAGTAATAATGAGCAGCAAGTTACTTCGAATGAATTTTCTTAGTGAGTTACATTTGAAATTTTTTATCTATGTTAGAAATCCTGCCCGAGGCGAAATTTCGTAATAATTTTGCTGCTCCACTTTTAGATGTTGACATTTGCCAATCATATCAAGATAAGAGAAAGGTCTATAGTTGTGTGACGATTACTTTGTTACTTTACTCAATAATGGATAAGTTTCCGTAGTGTAGCGGTTATCACGTGTGCTTCACACGCACAAGGTCCCCGGTTCGATCCCGGGCGGAAACATATTTTTTCCCCGTATACATACGAACTTACTTTTAGCCATTTCTCCTTTTTTTATTTTTTCCTATAAACATAGAGTTATTATATGATTTTATAAAATTTCGATATTTTTTTTTTATAATGAAACGCCATATTATTCCAATGCTAATGGAAAGTCTTAAAATTAAGCTACTTTTGGTTGTTTGATGTACTGACGGTCAGTCGCACAACTTCCATTAAGGTTTAATGACGCCTATAAGTTCTAATGAATGTCAAATTTGTATGGATAATGTCGCATTAAATTAAAGAAAAATTTAATGGACGTTAGTTCAACTGGCTGTGAGTGTAATGAGTGCAGCTGACTTTGAAAATAAATTGTCTAAAGCAAGCCACTAGCAGCATCCGTTCACGATCATAACGCAAGACCCATAGCTACCCTTAACTATATTTTAGAGAACATAACGACCCTATGTAACACAATTACGTTCAACGCTACGTGTAGTCCTGATAATGAATAAAAAATAAAATATTTATGTTGGGTCCTCATGCCATTAGGAAATGAATCCTTATCAACTTCTTTGATTAATTAAGTTAACATCCCAAATTGAATTTGTTCTTACAATTTGAAAGGTTGGTACTTTGTCATCACTTTGTTATTTAGTTTTATTACCCTTGTTGACTTTGTATAAAGTTACTGTCCCTTTTTGGAGTAGATACTGTAATATATAATTTAACGTGCTTAATGCTGTTCATTGATAAGGTCTTAAAATAAATGAAGCAATAGTCAAGATTTACTACGGTTTAATTTATACCTTTAAACTACAGCCCTAGGATGCGACCGCCTAACTCTCTAGCATTGATTCTAGCCATAGGATCATGTCGTATCCTATGGCTAGAATCAAAGCTAGAGAGTAAGGCTTTATAGGAAGCACGATAATCGATTCGTTCAATACCATGTATTTTTTTAAGAGACATGAAAAGTGATTACGAGGTTGTAATCAGTTGCCCGCCCCCTATTAATATTTTTAAGTAGTCCTCAGGGTGATTCCCTCTGTCAAAGTATCAAAGTCCAACCCGTCCCCAATAACGCAGGTCCCTCCCGGTTCTTAATTAAGTTTCGGTTCGGAAACTGAACGTTCGCTCTGTTAAATTTAATTGAGTCTTAAGAACTTCACTCTTTTTACTACCACGTTTCTCTGTCGTTTTAAAGTGCTATTAAATTCCACAGAAGGTATTTCACGAAATAAAGCTGATTATTCAAAAGGGATTATTAGCAAACGTTTTTGATGCGAATAGTCTTATTTTTCAGTATCATACTTTTTTTATTAATTCATATTTTATATATATCATATTTTTTATTAAAAACTGTTCTGTTTTAAAAGTTTTCAGGTTAAAAAAAGTTTATTGAACGTTATTTAAAATGTTTTTTCAATACTAGAAACCTTTAAACTCTTGTGTTGTGTGTTCATAAGATAACTAACAGAATAAATTGGTAAAACCTGTTTCTAAATTATATATTATCTAAAGTTTATGTGCCCTTTCTGGGTGAGCAATAAAAGTGGACCGTTTTCTGAAAACACATACATAATAAGTATCTACGAGTATCTAGGTACAAAGGCACGAAATCCGAATCAACCCGAATTTTCCTAACAAAAGAAGCAATAATTCTTGGCAAATTGCTTTATTTTGCTCCATCGGG